TTAATGTTTGCATTCTTATACCATTTTGTACAATAATTATAATGAATAAGTTGAAACAAACTAAAACTTACAGCTGATTAATGACTGTATCTAACTTGAGTTTTTATTATATCAAAAACCTGTTGAAATGCTACTGTTATTTTTACTGTCCCCCAAAAGCGCGCCGGCAGCCTCCAGGAATGCTTCTTTCACAACTTCGCCGTCTTTGAAAGATTTCATGTGTTTCGCAAGAACGTGACTGACACGATAAGATGCTATGGTAGCAGCCTTGCTCTTGTTGTTGGGCCTGGTGAAAATGGACTGCTGTGCATTTAGCTGTCCTTTCAGGTCCCTCCCCTTTTGGGAGCGTAGGGCAGAATTAGGAGGGAATTCCGTCTCGTAGCGTTTGTGCACTGTTTTGAAATGCCGCTCCTAAATTACCCTTCTTCGATAAAGCCACGCTCGCATTGCAGATGAGACAGATGGACTTTGAATTGGAATATATACAAAAATAATTATCCTCCAACTCGGAGTGAAAATGATATATTTTGGGCTTTTTTGCTTCTACCATAATTGCGGTCTTGTGTGCGTGCGGACTGTCACTCCTGTTTCCACGGACAACGTCAGCGAACTAGTGCCCACTGCCCACCAGCCACGCCCCAACACATGGTGTCACGCCAATCACAAAGCTTTGATGCGTTCAATTACATTATTCTGGCACAGGAAGATTATGTTATAGGACATCAACGATAAAACAGAATACTGTTGTTCTATTTTTAGACACATCTCACAATCGATCGACTGGGAATCTCCCCGCGATCGACTGGTGGGGGGGGGGGGGGTTACCTTGGTTGGTTATTGGCTAATGGTTACACAAGCCAAAAAATGACATCATTAAGTGGCCAAAATCTGATCAGCTCATTTTCAGACAGGTTTTAATAAATGGATCAGGACAAAAAGAGAGAGAACCTTTTTTTCTGAAACTTTCAGAATGTCTTTAAACAGAGGGGACACATGTTGATGTGTCAGGTAGATATCTATGGATACATCTCTCAACATCCATATGAAACAGAACTGTAAGCAGATTTCTTTTTCTTTATGGATATTTTACAAATCACTCCCCTTTTAAACTGTATTCTTGTTATTTTTAACAACTTTTTTGTTACTGTCACATAGTATTTTATACCTGTTTTTCATTTAGTCTCTTATTTTTTTATAACATCATAGCAAGGTGTGCCTTAACCTCACTGAGCTGAGGTTATTTGAGCCTCTCAGTCTGTCAGGAGAGAGCTCTCTTCCACCTGGTTGTAGAAAAAGCTCTTTATATTCGTTAGCATAGCTAGCTAACCAGATGCTAATAACAACAGATCGCCACCCAAATCAACGTTAAAAAAGCGGGAGGTGCCGTAAAGAGACTAATTTGCATGCATGATGTATAAAAGAAATGAAGAAGAGGATTTTGCCTAATAGGTGACCTTTAACATCTGGGTCCAATTCCTCACCTTTCCTATGAGTTCCCCGAGGTCCAGCTGTTCGAAGGGGATGTCCCACTCCTGCAGGTAGACGCTGGTCTGGCTGGCCTTGCGGCCTATTGGGCTCTTCCATTGGTTCCCCCGGGAGCTGGGCAGGTCGTCCAGCTCGTCACACTCTCCGTCCGATCCCATGTTCATCCTGATGTCTTCTTCATCGTCCTCCCCTTCATTCTCATCCTCTTCTTCCTCGTTATCCTCTTCCTCTTCAGGGTCTTCATCTTCGACTTCAATTTCCTCTTCTCCTTCCTGTGAGACAATGGTGATTAGGGCTGCGTAATTAAACGACTTTTTTTCAAAATTGCAATATGGACGAGTGCAATATCAAAATCACAGCTAGCGCGATAATCAGTAAAGGCAAACAAAAACATTATTCTATGTTAATCATTGCAGTATTTTACAGATTAGTCCGGTACAGATGTATATTTTGCAAATTGTGTAATTTTCATTTTTTGTTATGCATGCTTCTTAGTTTACATTAAGCTGTCTTAGGCCCTTTTCTGCTGTAACAGATGTACATTTCCCCTCTGTGGGACGAATAAAGGCATTCTGATTCTGAGATCCTCAACAAAAATATCAGCAATTGCAATATCAGTACTCGTTTCTAAATATGAAAACAAATAGATGTTTGTGATCAATCTAGGTATGTTATTAATATGGAAAGTATGAACTGATGTATTAATATCAGGGCTCTGCAACACAACTTGTAGAAGTAAAATGGACCCTTCATCTCTCTTTGTATTAAACAGCTGATTTGAACATGTTCCTCTCTCACGATATGGTGAAAAGACTATCAGACAATAAAACCAGAATTAAAGCGGTTGTTTTTTCAAATACATTTACAACACGTCCAAAGGCATTGTATGGCAAATGCACCATAGCTCCAGTTTTGACAAAGAGTTTCAGGCTTCTCCAACAATATATCATACGATACACTATATACTAGTGCTATAGACAAGATAGTGCGTGAATAAGCAAAATATATTTAGATTAAACAGAATCAGATAAAATACTGAAAAAACACTGGAATAATAGATACAAATGAATATGTGGATTGTGGATTACAAAGATGATCAGTGTTTTGAACGTTACCTCTTCATCCGCATCTTCTACCAGCTCAGATCGTATGTCGTCCGCTGCTGGCTCTATCTCACTGCTGTGACACAGAGAACTGATATTAAAGGGGGAATCCATACAAAAAGTAACGAATGATTGTGTTTTTGCTGAGTGAACTTTTAATGACCTGGAATAGGGGCTAATTGTCTGTGTCTATTAGCCTTCATCTGTGTAATTTGTGTATGTGTTTGAACTGTGCTCATGTGTTTTTTTCCATAGGCTTATTTGCTTTTATATATGTTTCAGTCTTCATTGCTTAATCTGGCATATTTACATGATGGACTCAAGTGGTCATATTAATTCATGTCCATTGTCTCTTTTAAATGAATAAATACAAAACTTATATGATTATCTTACACAGTGTCTCGTAGGACATCAGGGTGCAAATGAGCAGGACTGGAGACATCTGTAAAGAGAAATAACCACGTTTAGGAGGAATTAAGGGGCAACAATGTTATCTTTTCTCATGTTTACTCCCTTTTCCTCAGAGAAAGATTCATGCTCCACAACATAGTGAATATCACTGCTCATGCAATATCCCCATTCCACCAGCAGATGGTGTCAAAAGGCTGTTAAGAGTCAACATGCAGTGAAGATGGATACGGTGCTACAAGTTTAAAAGAAAACATGCAGAATACAGAGAGAAGATCTACGGGGTAATGTGATCTGAAGAAGGAGAATCACAGTGCAGTGTGACACTTTAGGACCATCAACTCACCGGGGAAGATAAACTGCTGTCTGTGCTGAAAGTAACAGGCAGCTTTTGCACAGACAAAGAGAGGGAAGACCGACAAGCATGGCAGGGAGAGAGACCTTTGGTTAGAGAAGCTTTGGATTAACAGACTTTGTCAAATGAAGAGCATTCTTCAGTGTTTAAACGAGACACTACAGGTGAGTAAGAACAACATTTTAACTAACGGCTATCATCAGGAAACTATCCCGTTGTATAAGGTGTTTTCTGAAATGTTTAAATAAATAACCCCTTGTTTCAATTTGCGGACATATTAAGAGTCAAAGGTTATTACAGAAGAAATGTATATAAGAAAATATTGTCAACAGCTATAAAAAAACTGACATTTTTGCCATGTTTTCCTGAATTAAATCAAAGGAAAAATCTAACCATTGTCATTATCATTAATGATAAATTAATTTAAAGAACCTTTAGAATATATATATGTTTTATGTAAGTGCTACTGAATCGAAGATACAGTATGTGGCTGAGGGTATGAGAAAAAAGTAATATTAGGAAAAAACCTTTACAAATATATGTATTATAAGAGACTACAGCTAAATATGAGCAACATTTTAAGAAATTGAATGTTTCTATGATAGCTTTCTGAAATTGTATCTTCAAATGAGGCATTTCTTCATTCTAACTTTTGGTGATTATAGAATACTGTCAAGACGTTTTAGGACGTGCATCTGGAATGTTGTTTGTCTATCTGAGTTCCTGCTTCCCAGCGTTAGTGAGGCTCACCTGGGAAGTTGAAGCGGCTGTCCCGGTGGTTCTTGGGCGAGGGGTTGGGTGGAGGAGTGGCGCTTGGGGGGTTGCTCTGCTGGAAGGGCGCTGGGGAGGAGGGGGTGGAGGAGGTGGTGGAGGACGGGTTGCTGCTGGAGTCCAGCTGGTTCAGCACCGGAGGATGGTCCTGGTGGGGGCGCGGGGGGCACAAATGAGACGATCAGAGTTGATGGAGAGGATGATTTCTACAGCTGCTGAATCTTTGTTTTAAATTACATTTAGATTGTTCAAACTTCAAAGAGTATGCGCTGGATTGCATTGCTTGATGGCATTCAGGGTAAAGAGACACATTTATAATCGAGAAAAAATTATTAGGTGTGCATGACGGATAACAGCTGTAGAATATAATTTGAATGAATACCCTGTTCTTGTATAGTTTTGTATATATTAATATAGGAGTTTAGGAATATTTAGCTTACAGATTACACACACTTAATCACTGATTCTGATAATGATTGTGAATTTCATTACCTCAGTTACCAATAATGTGTATTGCTAGAGCAGAAAACTAAAAATGTGTCTTTAAAATCATTTATTTATACTTAAAATGGAAAATGGTGTTGTCGTAAATTGTGTTGTGATCTTTATATGTACTTATTTTAGTTTCTAGTGTGGTATTATTATTATTACAGCCCCTGTAAATTACTTTTTTAAATTCCTACCTTGAGAATTGCATTTTTTTGTTTTTAAATGTTTTGAAAATTATCTTTCATTATCGTTTATTTTTAAAATAATATTTGAGGTCTTTGACCAAAAACGTTAAAATTGGATGACTCACAAGAGGGCTATTTCCTTTATAAAGCTATTCCCTGTGCCCTCCCGCTTTCACTACATTTGTTTTCTCTTTGTCTGTATAATTTGTCTGTATTAATATAAATTTTGTTGCATTGCGACTAGTTCTTGACCGTGTAATGTATCATAAAGAGGGCTTCACTAATCTTTACAATGTAATGAAGGGTAGATGGCGAGAGGTCCATTGTAAAATAACTAGAATTATTATAATTTTCTCCCCCGAACAAACACATGTAGAGTTGTCATAAGGCGAGGTCATCCAGGAAACAGAATGTGGATTCTGTCAAATGTGGTGTGAATTTACATATATTCAAATGTTCAAGCGCCAGAGATAGAACTCTAGTGTGCGATTTTATTGGAGTCCTGCGCTATGGCTTCATGAATTTACATAAGGTATACTAAAGCTAGATGTAAACAAATATTTTCCAATACAGATTTAGAGCTAAACAAAAGCAAAGCCAATGTACGGCATTTAACTACTTTGGGGTCAGTTCTTGATTTAAACATTAATATGTTAAAAATGCACCAAGTAAAAGGGGTTCTTTGTACACTTTACAGCATTATTTATCTGAGATTAGTATTCTAAGTGAAATATCCCTTTTTTAATAGATTCATAATCGAGATCTTGTGAATTCAAATAAAATCAGGAGATCAGAAGTGATTCACAGCACTTGTTTTAAGGTGTCATAGTTTAGGATTTCACAATGGTTTTGTCATGAAGTGCTACACATAGTGCTACTGTGTGATGTAATGCAGAACTCCTAAGCCTCCCAAAACATTTATTTTACCTTTTTCGTGATGGCCTTTGGTAAAGTGCCAAACTGTGGTGCCTCTGGCGGCCGGTCCACAGGGTTGTTTATATCAGACGGAACCGACTCGGTCCTCCGAATTTTGGCGACTAGAGGACAAATTCAGACGAAATGACACAATGTACTTGGCGTGCACAACACATTTCCTCCATCAACTTTTAATGGATAAACGTACTTGGTAGAAAGGAGATTCTGCAGGAAGGGGCTTCCTTGGTGCATTTGTTGTGGCACTTTAACCTGGAAGGAAAGTTCACAGAATGTCAAAACATGGCACCTTAAACCAATAATTAAATCCAGCTCCATGCACTCATGGCTAATGATTGAGTTCTGGATCATATCACTCCTATATTGGCAGCTCTGTACTGAGTCCCAGTAAAATCCAGGATATAATTTAAAATTCTCCTCCTAGCTTACAACGCCGTTAATGGTTTGTGTTTAGGAGGCAGACGACCTCTCCACATTTAATAGCAGGCCTAAGACTTCCTTTATAAAAAATTTTTTTTTTTAAAAACTCAGGCTTGCCTTGAACATCCTCCTTGAACTTTTATATGTTTTACTATTTTTTATTTGTATTTCCCATTTCCATTGCCGTTTTTTCAGTTGGATTGTCTAGGTTGTAGTTCAATTTCAAAGCTGTAAAAGCCCCCCCGAGACAAATGTGTTTTGTGTTTTTCGGCTACGTAAACACAATCTGATTTGACCTGCATTCCCTTATTCTACATGCTTCTGTCTCAATAAAAAAACATTTAATATTTGAGTTAAATAGAAAGCCCCTAACTCACCGACAGTGTTTGCACTTCACCCCAAACATCATGTTCTTCTGGCACACCTGACATGTTTGGGACAGCCAGGACTTTGTTGAAAACCTACAAAAAACACAAGAAATGCTGTTAAATCTTGCCACTTATTTGATATTTGATCAATAGCCCAGCTTGCTTCATGATGATATAAGGTTGATGAGAAGACATTGAGTGTCAGAGAAAAATCTACCTGTGTGTGACTGAGAGGCCAATGTCCCTCCTCACTGCTTGTGGGGAGTTGCGATGCCCTGCTACGTTATCTAGCCGGGGGAAAAGAGATGGGGAAAAGGGGAGAAAGATTGAAGGGGAGTATAAGCTTGAGAAGAGAAAGACTGGTCATAACCCCGGTGGTTAATCACGTTAAAAAACTGTGCACTTAACTATTAAAACTATTGTGTGCTCCTTGGAACGCAGTTCAAACACATTTATGAAGCGTTTATTTCACATAGAAATGATTGAGATCGAGCTCAAACACACACACTTCCACATGAAAGCATATTTTTGCCAACCAATTAAACATACTATGCTTATTTAGCCCCTGTTATTATTGTAAACCATAATGGATAAACACAGATTATTTTTGATGCTTTAAACAAGGGTTATTAATATAGAAAACTAAAATAGATACAGGCAGAAAAATATAAAATACTAACCTTATCCATTGAGAAAAACTCAAAATATATTGCCCGATTAGAAATCAAATCAAATCAAAAGTCAGTCAAAGTCAACTTTAATGTCAATCTTACTCAGTTTGTGTTTACAGACAGAGAGATCGAAATGACGTTTCCAACAATGAACGTGCATTTAATTCAGTTTAAGTTGCAATAGATCACTGCAGGAAAAATGATACCGCGTGAATTTCTGTCAACTATCGTGAGATGAGGATCTACAAAGATTTGAAGAATAATCCAATCCAAATAAAAGTCAACAAGTTGAAACTAACTTGCAGTAATTATACACATATTTAAAAAAAGACGCATGCTCCCGACTCACTTTTATGGCTGCTGTGCTCCTCCATCAGGGTGGGGGTGCCGGGCAGGGTGTAAGAGGCTGTGGTGGCAGAGGGGGTGACTCCCGGGGTGCGTGCAGACATGACGGGGTAACGGGAGAGCGAGTCCTCACATCCATTCCCATTAACTTGCATATTCAGTAACAACTTATTCTTCTTTATACATCTGAAGAGAGGGAAAGCAAAAACAGGTCCGGTTTAAAGTTTACAATACCCCAGGTCTGCAGCCTCAACACACAGGCCCAATTCCAAACTGACCCCCTATTTTTGTATATTTACAGGGTTTGTTGCAAAAACAAGTAGCTAATAAACATCAGGTATAAGATCATCTACAAAAAAAGAAAAAAACACTTTGGAGTCTAACTACTATTTATTCTTTTTTTTACCAAACCATGGTAATGAACACTTCCTGTTTCTGCAGGAGAGAGGGGAGTTGGTCCCAAAGCTTTCTGCAGTGTTTACAACCTCCACCTTAAAGCAGGAGCCTCCTTCATCTGTGAGGGTGACTACAGACGGCGTTTAACCCGTCACGGAGTGGGAGGGAGTAGGTGTTGGTTTGGAATTGGTCCACAGACTGTTTAGGGGTAGGGAATGCTCCGGTTTTTGGACAAAATTAACATGGGATCACTCCGGTCAATGGACGTACTTCGTCTCACTGGAATATTAATGGCCAGATTGAATACAACATCGACCCAATTTCTCCGGTCAATGACAGGAGAGTTTTGAAAGTGACAAAACACTGTTCCACACATTTAAAAACACTTAATCAAGGTTTACCAGGGGTCCATGCACCTTCCCTGGCTTGTAAAATGTGGTGATGCGCCCTGGAGGTATCCTACTATTTAAAACATGTATACACTCATATACACCCTTCATAGGGTTCCCTAACACAATGCACACAGCCTGGAGCAGCGACTCGGCCGTTTTCCCCCGCTTGTCCATTTGCCTATCAGTTTGTTAACGAATTGGACAGAGCCGGCGTTTTCCCCCTAAAAGTGACTTTTAATGGTGGCTTTTGCATTTAAATGATGGGTGCCATCATTAACCAGGCCCCCCGACACAATGCACATAGTCTGGAGCTCACTGGGGTCCTGCATATGCTTTAATCACACTTTTGTCCATTTGCCTATCAGTTTGTTAACGAATTGGACAGAGCCGGCGTTTTCCCCCTAAAAGTGACTTTTAATGGTGGCTTTTGCATTTAAATGATGGGTGCCATCATTAACCAGGCCCCCCGACACAATGCACATAGTCTGGAGCTCACTGGGGTCCTGCATATGCTTTAATCACGCTTTTGTCCATTTGCCTATCAGTTTGTTAACGAAATGGACAGAGCCACAGTTTTCCCCCTAAAATAATTTTTAATCATTATCTTTGCATTTAAATGATGTACGTTATAATTAATATGGTTGCTTTACCCAATGCACATATTCTGGAGCTCACTGGAGTCCTGCAT